AGGCGTCCTGGGCATTCCTGTGGAGACGGTGGTACTGGAGAAACTTGGCCCTCCTGCCCCAGAATGACAGCTCTGTACCCCAGGGTGAAAGTACACCCAGACATGCACAGTGCGAGAGGAGTGCCCCTTAAAGACACATCAGTACTTTAATCTTTAGTGACTCAGATTCCCATCCATTAACCCATCTGTTTTTTTACAGAACAACGAGAACATAAAAAAAAGAGGTTAATTCCCCGACAGAACAAGACAAAAACAAAATCACAAGCACTACTCTGCATGTGACCTCTGACCTGGCCCATTAGTTTCGCCTGTCAGGAGTGATAGCAGGAGAGAGGGCTGCTCACAGCACGCAAGAAACGTAGAGGGCAGGCAGTCTGCCCACCTCTGCCCCGCCAGAGCAATCTAACGCAATCGCACTGTCATTCCGGTACACGTCTGTCATGCCAGGACACCAGTCTTCGGGCAGTCTCCGCCGACAGGAGCCAGGGCCCGGACAGGACAGAGCCGAGCAGCGCTGCAGCCGGACCAGGGTCCCTCTGCCGGCTGGAGCACGAAATGAGTACCGACGAGGTGCCACTGAAACCGTTTCAGCGCGCATGAACGCTGCTCCGCACGCAGCTGGCTGGCAGATGTGTGTTCTGGCAGGAACAATAGCAGACACCGATAAAAATGGCCACAGTTTAAAGCTTGCAAGAGGGCTGCCGGTTGAAAAACTAAATTGATAGGACATTTAGCCAGTTATCACAGCTTAGAAGCATTGAGCTTTTTTTTTTGTTGTAAATACACAGCCGTAGATCCAATTTAAAACTGGCCAGAGAGGTGTCTTTACTCTATGCGTTGTTTCCTTAAATACTGGCGATGTAAAACACTCGCTTTCAGCTGACATACAGCCAAAACTAGTTTCTTAAACTCTCACAATTTTAGCAAGAAGAGAGAAAGAATAGTTCTGAAAGGGGCAGACCAAGCAGTTGTTTAACCCACAGGTCATTCTTCCTCCACTCGCTACAGAAGAGCAAGAGTCTAGAAACTGCGAGGAGTGTGAACAGAGGACCATTCACAAAGCCGAGGGGCAGCGAAGGCACTGGGACCTGACCGCCGCCTGGACAGTTACAGCTGGGACCTGCAGTAACACCAGATCGGCTCTTCATTCGCTACATCTGACCACATTAGATTTTGTAGAGTGAAGGCTTTCGGCTCTGAAGACTACCTCCACGCGTGAACACGCGTTTTCATGAACTCGAAAATAAAAACGTATATTAATCATCCTTACACTTATATAGTGCTTTTCTGGACACTCCAAAGCACTTTACAGGTAATGGGGACTCCCCTCTACCACCACCAGTGTGTCGCCCCACCTGGAAAATGTGACGGCAGCCATAGTGAGCCAGTACTCTCACCACACACCAGCTCTCAGTGGGGAGGAGAACGAGTGATGACGCCACATCAAAGACGGGGATTATTAGGAGGCCATGATGGGTAAAGGCCAATGGGAAAGTTGGCCAGGACACCAGGGTTACACCCCTACTCTTTTCAAGAACCGCCCTGGGATTTTTTTTATTGAGTTTTTTATTGGTCACAGGGAGTCCAGCAGAAGCCTTAGTTTTTCCCCCAAGAGGTCTCCCATACAGGTACTGGCCAGGCTCCCACCTGTTTAACTTCACCGGGTTACCAATTGTGAGCTGCAGGGCGATCAGCTGCTGGCTGCTAATTTGACATTAGTAAAATGTCAAATTTTAAAATGTCAACTCATGGAGTTGCAGGACTCCACCTCTTCAGGTCCTTGATGTCAGTCCTTGCAAACAAACTAGCTTCTTCACTTGCTGAAAACAAGCTGTTCCTACCTTCTGCCCCCACCTCAAAAACAGTGAACGGCCTCTACATGCTGTATGTTTCCTTTCTTTAAAAGGTCAAGTCACTGACCATCGCTGATCCCTGTTAACCAGGACTACGCAGAGAATGACCTACAGTAAGTGTAATTAACTCTCAAGACTAAACACTTCCCTGTTAAGGAAAAAAAAAGGGCAGGACTTGCCCCGCAGAACGTACACATGACTCTCACAAACACGCCAACAGCAGATCAGAAGGCTAAATAAAAAAGAACAACATCATGACTCATTAAGCAGAGATTCAATAATTCCGTTTCAGAACGCAACTTAAACCACGCTTCAGTTTACAGCAGAAGGACTGCTCCCTCTCCCCTTCTGCACTGGATCACATCTGTCATGGCAGAGGCCTGCACACACTCCTATCAGAAATCGGGGAGAGTGGGCAACACCGGTTGTTTAGGTTTCGTATTCCATCCTGCTGCCCTGGAATTCAAAGAATTCCAACAGAGCCCC